GGTATCTCTTCTCGCAGTGAAAGCAGACGTGCCGTACAATACTCTCGACCTCATCGGTCGGTCTATCGATCAAAGCCAACGACTTCTTGTCGAACATCCGAACCCCTGTTCTCTTGTCAATCAGATTGTAGTCAAAGACACGTTTCCTGAATCGGGTATCAGTGGTCGCTTCGGTCGTCTCATTCTTGGACTCACTCTTCGGCTTTAAGTTTAGATCAAAGTCCTGGCCGTCAGTCCTCTCGTTGTCACTCACTTTACACGTGTTTATCATATAGTCTTCGGTTTCCTGTTTGACCACAACCTCATCGGACGCCTTCATAGCGTCGGCACTGCTGTCGTCGACAGTGTCTTCCTCTTCGCAATCGGTGGTCAACTCGTCGTCAGTCAACGCATCCAAGTCTAGGCAAACGGTACGAGCGGTGGACGACATCCCGACAGTGATCTACGAGAAGACATCGCGAGAGATAATGAGTAAAAGTGGTCCACAATTGAGTGTTGAGATGAAGTACTCAATCATTTCTGGCATTGCATTGAAGTGTTGGCCAAAAACGGGACACCAATTGAATCAACACTTCATAACAAACACTCATTTCTACTGTAAATGGGATTTGAATTTGTTTTTTGTTTGTCTTTATTTAGTCTCACATTTCCATCATTTGGGGCTTAAATGTTGTCCACATTTTCAGCACCTTTTCATATAAAGTCTATGCCTTTCATATCAATAGCTATGCCTTACTATAAAAAGGACCGAAATGTGTGCTAAAGTTTGTCCTTATTATAAATGGTCTAACATTTCATCAATAATTAATCTCTTAACCAATGAATGGCTATTGAAATGACTTTGATTTCTGAATGAAAGGCATATTTCACTCACTATACTGTACTGTCAATCATTCATACATTTCGTTCATTTAATCAAAAACTTTTTCCTCACAAAAAAGTTTTATTTAACTCACGATTTCATACAATCACTGATTTGGTTGAAAAAACTAATTATAACTTTTATAAATCACTTACCAGTTGTTGTTTGCGATCACTTCATAGGAAAGTCAATAGGTTTAGCGAAAACAGACAAATCAATTATAAATACATGTATTAATACTGTATAGAAATTTGTTGATAAAATATATGCAAACGTTTGTCGGACTAAACACGAGATAAAACTAAACTAAAATCAAAAGTTGCCTTAAATTGAAACTTTGAATGCATTGTATATAACATGATATCGGTTTACAGTTTATTTCCAGACATCAAACACACCAATGGATCCAATGATAGATATTTTGTTTATAATTTATAGGCGTCTGAACTTTATATTATATAAATTATATATGAATCCGAATCCACATAAATATGATACTAATTTTGCAAAATTTGTAAAACAAAATAAAATTTACGGAAATAAAACAAAAACAAAAAAGTGGAACTACTTTTACAGCGTTGTATTAATACACACGTTATATAACACATTCATAACATACCATGTATTTAAAGTATGGTTATATTATGAATTCTTTGAGCCCCAACTGAGAGTGCAAAACAAGTTTGAGAGAGAAAAACGAGTTTTTCAAAAACAATAATTTATAGTTTTACTGCAAAACTTTGCAAAACCAAACTTTTGCGCCAAACAAACAGCGAAGAGTCCTTCTGCTCACAAATGCTAATTGTTTTTGTTTTAAATTCAATGCGAGAGTCGTTTGGGATATACTGTACTCTTAGAATAGCGACAATATTCACTTGAATTGTATGTCTAACACATAATACATAATAGTTTTAATTGGGCTTAAGGTTGTTAATGATATGCCAATGCATTGAATTGTATTTCCGTTGTATTTGGTTCGCAGACATTACTGGAAGGCATGACTCGGATTAAGTGGGAATGTATGGCAAACACTGAGATCTGATAAAAATTTGTTATTTAAACAGCTATTTAACACTCAATGCATAGTAAGTGACCGATTCTTCAAGAGTAACTCTTCACATATAAACAAATTGATAATTATTCAGGCCATTGAGAGAGAGAGAGAGAGGAGAACTGTGGCGCCCAAAGACTTTGATCTGATCGGAAGCGGTCTGCCGTCGGGCAAAATGGATA